TAAAATAACCTTTCAAAAATAGTTTCATTCAATTTTTTCTTCACGTCTACTCCGTTCGACGTTCCAGTCTATCAATAAACAAATTTCGAATTTTTCAAATTTTTTCTTTTATGTTCATCGGATGTTTTTAGTTACTGTTATACGTCCCTTTTTAAATTTGATTTTTAAAATTTTAGCCGATATCGATGCTGTATACTAAGCTTGATCGTTTTTATACAATTTATTTCGGACTTTGAGTACCTCCTCCTTTCCAATCAATATTGACAGGCTCTCCCGACTTTGCTATCTGTTGCTGTACGCAGCATCATTAAGTTGGTATTAACATATTTCTTCAGTGTCGTGGATATAAAAAATACAAAATATGTGCGAATTGTTATGGGATCCTTTAAGAAGAAATGAAAAACGAATAAACTCAACAACTTCTAATAAAAAATGGTAATAAATTTGAAAAAAAAAGTAAGAAGAACAAGCAATCGGCTTAACGATTTTACACATTTCAATAAAAATCATTTTAATTTTTTTCATGCCTTAGAAATTCACGGCAAATTTCCTTTTACGCTGTTGAAGAAAGCCCTAAACATATTGGGTTGTATTGAACACAAACAACTTTTTATCTATTCTCTTTCTCTCTCTCTCTCTCTCTTGTTTACGTCTACTCTTGGGGGACTTTCTCAGAGCTTGCGAAACACCATAAACTTGTGCTTGATTCGTGTGCTTTTTGCATCGTGCATTATTTATTATGTATTGCATATAAACAAGTTAGAAAGTTAGTTGTATTCTCATGAGAGAAAATCTTTAGTGGTCGCCTGTTCGAACTAATAATTATATTGTTACGGAAATCCCAAATCTAGTTGATTCCGGCTAACTCATTTTCCCAAACAATAAATTCCTTAAAGAGAAGAGAAACCAAATGCACATTCGTGAGGCCAATGAAAGCGATTAGCGGAAAAGCAGATAGGTAATAACCAAGTGCATATTCGCAAGCGCGACATGCAGCCGCAGACCGATGAAAATGGTTACCAGAAAAGCAGGTTAACGAATTAAAATAAATCAAGTCACAAAATTAGTTACTAGTAATATGATGGTAAAAATGTATATAAATAGAATATTTGTGAAAGGCAGAGTAGTGGAAAAAGAATATTTGTGTTAAGCAGTCGAAAGTGTTGCCAAAAATAATTTGTAAATAATCCTACATTTAAAGAAATATAATTGTAAATAAAAGAACGTTTTCACGGATATTTCTCTTCAATAAAATATCCGCGATCCAGTGATACGGACTGCATCTTACAAAAGCGAATTTTTAACAGTATAGTACAGTAGAATTTCGGATATTTTAGTAATGGTAGGCGTGCAAATTAATTGATCCAATTACTGATTACGCTTTAGCTTTATCTTAGGTAGCTCGCGGAAATATTTCTATCAGATGCTTTTAGACCTATATATCTTAAGAGCTATAGCTTGAGGTAAAAGAGCCATCTTTTACTAAATCGATCGATGAGAATTCAGAAATCACTTCAGAAATCCTTTTTGGAATTGAATTAAGCCATTTTGGTTGCCTGTCCACGTGTCGCACACAGGTCGCAATATTGGTACACTGACGCAGCAAACGCTTATGATAAAATCGTTGGGTAGGACACCACCTTTACCACCGCTCCCCATGTAAGACCTTATTTTAAAAAACTTTTCAATATTTCAGCATGAAAATTGGTTCACAATGATAATTTGAGAAAAAAGTGCACAAAACTGAATTTGAACCACTCTGTCTATTTTTTGAACTCCATATAAGACTTTTCATGAAAAATAAGCCCTTACAGGGCAGTAATGGCTAGTTGTGTAATAAAAAATATGAGAAGCTTAGCTAGCTCTCTGACAAGAGAGCTCTTTGCTCTTTCCAAAATTTGAAATATATCAGTTTACGTTTTTTGGCCTCCTCCCACGTCGTGATTTCCATGAAAAATGTGTCTTCATGAGGAGAAGAGATATAATTTTTGGTGTTTTATCACAATGAACAAAGAATTATATATAGCGAAGTGCTGTAAGGTTTTAATAAGAGGTCTTGTCCGATTATAAAGTTCTCACTTATTTTTTAGTGAAAACATATTTAGCCAGATCGCTGAAATCAATTTGGTTATAACACACACGCACATTGGTGGGCGGTCACTACTGAGCAAGCCACTGTGGTTGATCGGAGCTGGCTTTCTCAACTGTTGTGATCACTAATTTCCCAGCAGAAGAAATACAGTGAAACGAAAGTCTTGAATCCAGGTATATATGTATGAGATATCATGTGTATTCCTTTAAGCAAAGACATGCCCAGCATATTGCTATTCCTTGGCCGTTTCATTATGACTCCCATCAAAGTGAGACGTAACTTTTCCTATAACCCACTAATTACGTCTCAAGGGTAACATAATTTAAACATCTTTGAAAAGTAAACAAAAAATCTCGTCTTTGCTGAAAATATGATTTTATATCTTTTTTTTTTCGCTTGTTTGTATTTGTTAAATGAAGTAAGGACAAGAAGCAAAAAAAGAAAAAACCAGAAACAGAAAGATTTTAAAATCGATACGAAAAAGCACAAATATAAACATTTATATTTATTGATTCCGGTTAAACAAATAAATAATTTAATATGCTCTCGTTAACGGATAAGATGAAATCTTTAAATAATTGTATGTCTGGAAATGATTGAATCGCAGCAATTACGAGGCAATTCAAATAATTTTGAATATGCTCAGTCTTTAGCGTGTTTAACTAAACACGGGAAACAATACTGCAAAAACGCTCGTTTACTTAGAAGAGTTCAGGTTCAATTTTCCTCGGACAAAAAAACGTTTTTCTGGAAATCGGATATGAGAACGAAAATTGCCGCTTATGGATCGACTAAACCAACCCAACGAACGTAGTTAAATGCTTTTCTCATTCTCAATCAAAAGTTAAGAACGTTACGAAAATGCTTTGCGTATATAATGCATTAGTAACGAGACTTGGTCGAAGGGTTGCTTGATTAACTCTCTGTCCTTTATCTATCTACTCCTTTCCATTTATCTCTCTCCGTTTCTCTCTTTCTTCAAGGAGATCCTAGATCGACAATATTGGTGAGCTGGGCATTTCATGCGCTGCACAAGAGACCGAAACGCCCGTTAGTCGAAAAAAAAGGAAAAAAAAAGAAGACTTATTTCGCGTCTTTTTTGCCACGAAATGAACAGATTTAAAAGCGAATCAGTTTCGTTAATGAACAGCTCGAATAAATTATGCCATCAATATACGGTTGAATCAATTCAGAAATTAATAAAGTCGAAGAACAAGTAACAAATAACCCAATAAAGAGAACATAAACCCAATAAAGAGAATAAAATTAAAAGCTAACATTAAATCGAAACAAGTAAGAACATTGTGTTCGAGTGTGGGCGAATTTCCCATACCCAAACCCATTTATTTGAAAACAGGAAAAAAACTAAAAGGCCTAAACTGCGATATATTATATAATATATTAAATGGATGAGAGCAAGTTTTACCACGTTTAGGCACGATTACTGTTACACGTCCCTTAGAATATATGGGGAAATTTTTATCATTATATCTATTGTAGTTTATCTGTAACTAGCAAAAACAGGCCAAGTTCAAAGATCGGTTCTCTCCCATCGAAATATTTTCCATTATTTTGTAAGCTAATATGGAATTTTTTTGAATGAATAGCATTTTCGGACAAATGGTGCGATCCAATCGATTAATGCGAGAGTGCGCAAACAATGTAACATATTTAATACTAACGTTTGCAATTATAAAAGACGATCGAAAGCACTCACCAATATTTCTGCTATTTTGTTGTTGATATTCTTTGACGATGTTTCCAGTGAATCGAAAAAAAAAAAAAAATGCATTATCGGCCCGCCATTAAGAGGCAATGAGTCTATACATACTACCGCAACTCTGCACCGTTACATATCATGGTGGAATTTTGGTTAGCTGAACTGAAACTTGGCTGTGCTGCGTTATGTAACGATGCACATTCGAGACGAAATACCATCGTTCAAATTCAGCGAATATAACTGGCCGCTTATCGAATTCAGATAAGCGAGATAGAAGACACTATGAGCATGTCAAAAATAGATGTTTGTTGCATATTGAATCAAGATTTAGGCCTCGAGTATGCTAACCATATGTTGAGCGACGTGAGTTGCTCATGGTAGAACAATAACATCGATTCACAAGTTGACGGCCACAATAGTAAAATTGCAAGAATAAAAGTCTTATTTGCCGCATATTCTCTAAATCTAACTTCCAACGATTTTTACTTGTTGTCAAATCTCAAAGGCATTTTTCGGGGAAAAAGATTAGAATCAAATCAAATGACGAGGTCACGACGGCAAGAACTGTTACACCTGCTACGTTAGTAAATAAAATAAAATCGCATTTTGCAAAAAAAAGAAATTAATTTTTCTTACTTAGACTGGAAACTTTTCAAACAACCGTAACTTCTTTCTTGCTGATCACATGAAAATATTTAGTCCAAATTTCTCTGTTGCATTCACAGCAACATCGGCATTCCATTTATAACAACAGTTCAAAGACTGCACTTACTCCTCACATGTACTTCTATGTAAATTTTTCTATGCCCATGCCGTCTGCATCAGCTATCTACCTGTCCACTTAAAGAGTGCTCTTAAACACATCAAATTTCAGATGAATGTGTACTCATATGAATAACATCCGGAATTCATACGAAAATTCTCTTCAACATTTATTAAAGACTTAAATCAATTCAAAATGTTAATAAATTCGTTGCAATTATGTGATAACATTGGCGCAAGTTATAAATATTAAAGATTCGCCTCGTGGTGAGCACAGCTTTTTTATATGTTGTTACGCTCTTATCTCATGTGAGATTTGTTTATTAACAATTTCGTTCAGAAATGTTTTATAGACATGTGCAAGCAAACACGTATCATCCGAATAAAAACATTTCTTTTCCAATTTCATATTTTTCAGGAAAAAAAACCCTAAAGATCCGAGAAAGTATTTTCGCACGATAGACATAAATTATTTAAATATCTCCCAAATATTTATATAAACACATCAGTCGCAGCTGCAACAATATACTAATGAAACTTATACAAAAGGCTGAGAAGAATAGTAACGTTATTGTTGTTTATAACACAAAAATTTACATCTGAAAAATACAAAGTTTATACATTTTTATAAAGTCCGTAGCGACTCGGAGGAATAAAAGAAGAATTTATAATTAAAATACCAAAGGATGAAACCAGCGAGGATTAACATTTATTTTATTAAATAAAATGAAATAAAGCGAAAAAAAGTGAAAAGAAGTCAAATAAATCTATATTACAGTAGGAGACGGTACAGCCGAGTGTACGAATGATGGCTGCAGTGCAAGTGCGCGAAGATTTACGAAGCTCGTCGGGAGGGACGATGACCAAGCCAAGCAAAACTTCTTCTACTTTCGAGAAAAATAAAACTAATACATTTTATACTGAAACTTCCATCTGGCCGAGTAGTATTTCATATCCTCAGCCCGCCTATAACTCTTCACTTGCATTGAATACGACACCAACTGCATGGATGTTTGGCGACAATAATACCGATTTTTATTACCAAGAGGCAGAAGAGCATTGTCACGATATCGATGTAGTCAGTAATACCTCTTACGGCAATATAACCTGTGAATCACCCATTGAATATGCGGTACCATTGTACGGCTATTGTATGCCTTTTCTCTTAATCATCACTATGCTATCTAATTCGCTAATAGTAGTGATACTGAGTCGTAAAAAAATGGCCACACCTACAAATTTCGTACTAATGGGTAAGTATTAAAAAAACATATTATACTCATCCCTAAAAGAATGAAGAAGATCCCATAAAACAGGCGCCTGCTCATAATCAGAATGAGATTTTAATAAGTATTGCTAATAACTTTCTATCCACGCGCCCGTTTGCCACGTACGTTGCCAGACAAAAGCCTAAAATAAGAAGCTAATATTTGGCAGAGTTTTGGGCTTACTTTGCGTTTACGGATCAACTTACACCAAAAGTCGGCTTTAATAACGTGACCCTTATGAATCTGTCAATTCTAACGTTATAATGATATAATGTCCTTATTCGAACGTATTTATCATACTTAGGTTCCTCCTAAGTCCTAACGAAACAAGTAAGAAACTTAGTCTAGTTCGGCTAGATTTTATTGCCATAAAAAAGTGAATATGATAAAATTTATCCTTCACCATATTACAACACAAACAAATATTGCTAAGAAAAATTAATCGAACAAGTCGTGAAATCCGCCGCGATTAATTGAGAATTAATGCACTTCGCTTTACGCATTCGACTCCCCGAGACCTTTTATTTTATACCCACATCGCTGGCTTTGTTAAGAAACTTATTAATCCACCGCGTGCTGGTGTCCGCCGTATTTATTCGAAAATCAAGCCATTCTCAGGCAGATAATATATATCTTCATTTGAGGAATGTACAAAATAATTTTAAACATTCGATCTTGTTTGCCTTAATAACCATACCATAACCATTAATAAGCATAAAACATTAAAAATGTGAAAAACACGGAAAATGTAATCACATGCGACTTTGTGAGGACATGGCCAAATTTTTCCATTTTTGCGCATAAATAGTAGAGTTTCTCGTAAAGTAAATGTGCAAAGTTTCACACCCTTCTACCTTTTCTATCGGAGTTAAGTTCAGTTTACGCCGCACTCCGGACTTTTACTTTGTCCACTTTCGCCGATTTTCAGTACCAATCTGTGTGCATAAGCTTCTGCCAAATTTGAGGTTGATATCTTCATTTTTGCGACCTGCCGAGTGCCAACAACACACACCACGCAGACACACAGGCACAAAGGTACGCAGACGAACACACGCTGATCAAGACCATGTATATACTTTGTAGGATCTCTTAAGCTTACTTCTGATTGTTGGAAACATTATGACAAGATGAGTACATCTTCCTTACTTTAGTTGTCGATATAAAAAGAAACTAGAATTTTCAAAAAGGAATTCATTCACAAGACATTACTTCATAGTTTTCCGTAAACTGGAGAATGTAGAAAAGATTCCGTTCTTCATCCAAGCTACTGTCCATTCATAAAGTTAGATGTGTGCAAAATACTTTATAATAATAATACTTTAGTGAAGAGGATTCGATGAATCATGCTTTACAAAAGGACTATGCGTAAGATTTGTTAGACGAACGCTGAAATGTGCCTTAGCTATATGTAGACCATGTCTTAGCGTTCGCATATTGCATCCCTCGAATCTGTTGCGAAAAAGTTCTTCTTGTTTGTCTTAAAAGATGCGCCTTTGGACCCAGATTATCACCTATAGATTTGCGTTCACGTAAGAGATCTTGGTTTTACCTGCTCATCTAATCACATGATAAAATTGATAAACGATAACATTGAGTTGGTAACTTTCCTAAATGAATTGAACGCGAACATTACTGCCCGTCCTTTTAGAGGCTTTCTTTTCATTAAAGTTCAGCAAAATTATTTAAAACGAGTACAGTTTGAAAGTTGATCAATTTAAAAAAACCTGCATACGAAACGAATCGTAAACACATGGATTTTCTGATGCATAATGATAAAGAGATTACTATTATTTGTCTCTTTTTGTTTTAGCACATTGTATGCATGTATGATGTATATTTCATAAGAGAGATTGGTAAGCGCCACAGAGTACCAAAGCGCTTACTTAAAAATTCACTAAAACAAAAACTTTGACTAAGTAAATTAGAAAACATAAGATGTTATGTTAGACGACATACATGTTCTCGCTCTCTATTCTGCCGTAACATCCCTTATCAATTCCCATCGATGCCAACTGCCCTAGATGGAAATCTCTTCTAAGGCAAATAAATACACATATGAACTTAAACACGCACAGAAGAAAAGAAGATTGTCTTTCTTTCTTCCTTTTTTTTTTTTTTATTATTATATTTTTTATTTCTGTTGCAAATCCCTTTAATATGCACAATACTCGCAATATGCGTGTACATTATATTTTATTGCAAATAAGAGTTTGTTGGGGTCTTTTGATTGAACTATTATGTGCTAAGTTAAACAATAAAAATATCATCACCATAGTCGTTGTTGTTATTATGGCTATTTGGAAAAAAAATAAAATAACAAAAAGAAATACATAAAAATAAAAAATGAAAAGTGAAAAGTGACAAAAAAAAAAAAAAAAATAAACAAAAAGTAAAAAAGTAAAACGCCTGCTTTACAAAGGGTAAGAAGAAGTAGATGAATTCATTCACTACCCCAGCGCGCTCGCATTCATTGAAACTAAATACATTGAGTATTAAGTGAAATCATGTCAAGCTTCATTTTGTTTTGTTTCACTTTATTTTGTCTTGTTTTCTTTTCTCTTATCCATTTTGTTTTTGTTTTCACTAACATTACACAACTGCATATAACATGACATGTGTTTACTAAAGGATGTGACAATAAATCACAAGTATGAATACACAAATATCACGTTATTTATCATGTATATACATATAACTTGGCATTATTGTGTATGTATATGTTTGCATACAATGTCACACATAAACACATTCACATATATATATATATACCTTTAATAATGGTGTGAAGTTAAGTGAATTTTAAGTATGGTTAAATAAATAGAAGACAGAGCGAGAGGGAAAAATCGCAGTAGTAACAAGTATATTACCCAGAGTTGATTTCATGCTTCTCTAAATAAAATGGAAATTTTGCATGAAATATTTTTGAAATGTTTACGATTACAACGTCAAGACTCTTGCAATAGTTGTAGTTATTGAGTTAAGAGATCGATAAAAATTTAAAATTTGCAATAAATTTATTTAAAAATCTACATCAACAAGGAATTCATGTAACAGATAAAAATGTTTTTCTCAATACACTACTGTGTGTGCGAAAAAGTGGTAAGACATGTAAGATCTTTTCTTGATTACGTAGCTTTGTCCGCTAAGTTGAATGTACATTGAATGCAACGAGTAGACTAAATGTGAAGACAATTTTAGAAGCCATCATTATCAAAAGTGTTCACTGGTAATCGAGGTGAAGTGAATTATGATGATGATGAATATTTCGCCGGTCAAGCCTTTGCAACGAAATATTCTTCAAGTGTTATGCGTAATATGCGCGAAGTTATTTTTCGAAATTATGTATGAAAAAGTTTAGATACTTGTATTATCATATTAAAGTTGAATTTTAAGGGGACTTAAATGCCTGTTAAGAGCTTTGACTTTCTCTAAATGCCTCAAGCGTTTTCGTATAGTCACATAAAAGTGAATGGGATTTATCCCATTTTCACCTTTATGTCCACTTAAATAAGATTTTTTTCTAAAAAGAAATTTTTTATATAATTCTTGTGACGACCGCAACTTTGAATCTAGACAAAGTTTTCCTCTCATATTACGCTGTAACGCTGTCACATAACTGAAAATGTGTACAAGATTTCGGCTAAAGCAGACTTTAGATTTAGAAGACGCCTATCTATGATAGTAAAACAAGTTGCATAACAGCTTACGCATCTGATTGGCGAAACCTTCAACGCTGTACAGTTTTCAACAAAGACGATAGCCCTACATGGACTAGCAATTTAAGGCGCTATTCTCATTTTATTTTGTATGGTAGGCCGATTTACTCCTGTTTCAACACATACAACTGCATACGTGCAGTACCTTGCATTATTTTTGGCGAATTTGAAGTCAGTCTTAATTTAATCTTAATGATCGGGAGAATGTCTGTTCATTTCCTTCAATGGACAGATAGACATGTCTAGATCGTTTTTTAAGCTCGATATCAATCGGGACTATACATGTACTTTAAAGGGCCTTTAAGGGTACTTTTCGAATTTTGCAAACATGAATAACAGCATTAATAGACCTCCATCCTTTCGATAAATGATATGAAAAGAAAAAAAAAAAAAAAAAAGAAAAAAACTGTGTCGGTATTCTTTATGCGCATTTTTAATGTCATAAATTCCGTTTACTGCGCATATTCACTGAATATTAAGTGATGCGTATATTAGGTGAAATTTGCATTTGCCTAAAACTAACGAACTAAAAAAATTGTGTTTTCATCTCTTTTGTGGTTTTCAAGTATATTCTCATTATTTTCAAATTATCTTTACATTACATACTTTATATAATTGAAATTTAAGTACTTAAGCAAACCGTATTTTATAAATTTATTACATAATGAAAACCACTTGAAAATTGCAAGATTTAATACCAATGAAAAACACATCACATAACCAAAAGTAAAAATTTTATGAACCGGTAATGAGCAGGTTGATGAGGTTTTTATCTATACAGCGTAATGTCTAATACATAAACTACAACGACTCATAACAGTAAACTTATCTACACAAACAGCATTGGCAACTATTAACAACATGTGGAGAATGTACTTGTTATAAAAAAAAAAAAATTAAAAAAAATAAAAAATAAAAATGGAGATAGAAAGAGAGAGAAATAGTAATTAGTTTTTTTCATAACCACTTCAAAAATTGTAATATGTTTGTCGAATTTTTCTAATGAATAGAAATAACCGAGGGAGATGCTATAAATTATATATGCTCTTGGTCAGCATAGATAGCACGATTGCTTTAATTATAATTCAAAGCCTAAGTTTGAAAATCAGCTAATACGGCTTGTTTGGTAACATTCCCTATGCAAGTTTCCCTATATGAATCCGAAGGCAGTCTACGTACTAAAAACATGACATTAACAGAACCTTTAGGGTAGTGCACCTCAGTTGCTCTGCTCAATTAGTTGTTGCTTATAGGATTTCCTAAGATTGGGTTCGTGTCGCTGGAGTAACTTTAAGTATATCACATCTGTCTGTCGCTCTCAAATGTAGCTGGTAGTTATTCGCTTAAATCCGAAGTTTCTTCGAATGGAATTTTTTTTTTTTTTTTGGCACAGAACTCGACCTACACGGAGTTTAGGAAAGGCAACATTGTGCACACTTCTATGTGATAAGTTGGTCATGTCCTCTCTTGGGAAATAATGAGAAGCCGCTTCAACATTTTCTCCTTTCAACGGTTTAGAAATGCATTTAAAACTGGATGCACACTGTATTGTCTTCAAGCTGCATTTATGCCAAACGAAATGGATGTTAAAAATAAAGCGCCTATTTGCGAAAGTGTCTACGATAGCATTGTCAATGTCGTATCTATGTAAGCCTAAATATTTTAATATACCGTGATTAGCTTGTGCTCGCAGTTGTAGTGAGTGCTCATTCAATAAAGGTAAAACATTTGCCGACTGAGCATGCATATCCCCTGCTGTGGCCGTTCGCCTTATCATTCGGTCGCTACTTTTTTCTCCCTGGCCATCATTGTACTTATATACACATGGAAAATATTTCCTGAGAGACTGGTCATAAAATTTATAAATATATTTATATATGTATATATATATAATTGTGATAACAGAGCGAGAGATTGCAGTTATATGTGTATAAGGTGTTACGAGAGACAACTAATCGAATTATTTAATTCAATTATTCTATCCAATTTTAATTAACTCAATTTCAACTAATTAGCCCAAAATATTGATATCCATATGCGTACTTATTAGAAAAAAGCTAAAGAGCAAAATATTTAACATTCTGTTTCATAGCTGAGAAGCAACGCACTTAATAAAATGTACTCGAATGGCGCTGGGACATTTACGTCATTAAATGTAAGGTATGTTCCGACTAAGGATTGCCCAGGTTGCATGGATGTACTCAAAATCTCAAACCGTTTAAGCGGAACTCCCTTTTCATAATCTTCTGGATCTTTTCAAAGAAGTGTCTATCCATTTCATGTCTATATTTTTTCTTTTAAAATTGCACTTGGTAGTTGTCAAAGTAAAAATTGGTACAGTGATATATTTTGACCCAAGGACAAATCATCATCATCAACAGTTCTTAAAAAAAGGATAATGGGAAAAATCTGTATTCATAGTCTGTAGATTATTGAAACTGTCGGCCTTGTCCGATTGTAACTTTTTACTTTGTTGTACAATAAAGTCTTCTAAATGATAACATTACAGTATTTGAAATGTAGTTGATTTGGGACAAAGCTTTACTCTTAATAGTCGTACAAAACGTATGCATAAATTAGATATGTAATAATACTTTACAACTACAAATCGTTCAATATTTCTTTTCTCGGTAAGAATACGGGAACTTATTTAGTTTCAGTCTGTATATATCTGTGCTTTCTGAAATCACGATTACAAGCGCAACATTTTCTATAGAACTTTATTTCAAATTTGTTTTCTCACTTTCTTCAAAAATCACGTAAATCGACTCTAGAGAGGGGAACCAGGCATGTCTGCTTAAAGCCATTTTGGCTTATTTGGGTGATCAAATAAAGTCTATATATGTTTGTCTTGAGATGAGAGGAAAACGGCATAAGACATCAGTACGTTTTCTTGTACTCACCAGGGAAAAGGATGGGGTAATGTTCATTTTGTCATTATGCTTGCAACACACAAAACGAAGCTTCAGAGACTCTATAAAATATACACATACATATTCTTGTTCAGTGTCAAATTTTGCTTTTCCTTTTATTTTGAATATTTGATGCACGATTCTTAAGTAAACGGATGAAGAACGTGGTAATGTGCAGTGGAATAAAGTGGAAACAAATGGAAATTAAAATTTTATCGTCAATATTCGAGAAGTTCGAAGTGTATCAAGCAGATCAGAACCATTTTTATAACAAAATATTCAGGTGGCTGTGACGAACATCTGGTTGATAATTGTTCGGAAGTATCTTTGGGCAGACCGTACCCATTTTTTAACCTCGAAGTTTTAATCAGTCGATGAAACTTTACAATAAATTTCAGCATCCCATCTAAATTTTTGCGTCAAGTTGACCCATTTTAGTAGAAATAGGTATCTACCATCCAGGTATTTTTAGGTATATTGATGTAAATAAAAGTCACCAAAAAAGTTTTTAAATTTTGCATCCCATACATCGGTTTTTTTGAAACCGAAAAGTTGACAAATTGATCCGTTCGATAGCTGTAATGCTAGCTGGTATAAAAAAACAAGGAAAAACTGTACACTGGCTTGACCTATTGGTTGAAAGCGAGTAGGCCAATTAAGAAATTGATTTCGAATCGATTGCCGCGATACAAAGTGGATCTACCTTAAGTCTTTCTGAGTGTTGTATACATTCGCACAAACTTTATATGCCCTTCTAGTACAAGTGATGCAACGCATAACAATTTTTTGAAATGGAATATCAAAGAAAGAGAAAACATGTACACAGAAGTTTCATTCAATGTAAGGCGAATTTTATTTCCATAAAATATATATTAGTTTGGGGAAAAAGAAATCCATTATTTTTATATAATAATATATAAATATATAATTTTAGAGTACTTTGCCATTTCTATTTCTGGATCGAACGCTCAGGCGGGTCTGGTTTAAATTTACATTACCACATTTTAGATTGATATCGGCCGCCTGTCATGAGTTGAAATGTTAAAACTATCGTGTTTTTTCGTAGATCCGTTTGAGGTCGTATCGTATTCGTTTCCTAATCTGATCTGTATGGCCATCAATTAAGAGCTTAAGACAATTTGAACGGATGGATTGAATGGTCAAGTTAAAGATCCACATTATTATTTATAAACTTTTCACCATCGCCGATGGACTTTGCCTTGGCAAAGGTTATATCCTTTAAAAAAACGCCAAAAAAAAAAAAAAAAAAAACAAAAGAAAATTACTTTGCGTGAATATAATCCGTAAAGTATTTCTTATGACAAGTACATTAAAATTTTGTACTCATCTAATTTTAATTATCAATTATTAATTATTTTGGTGTAAAATGGATATACATTCTTTACATTAAATGTGCAACGAATAAGCCTTTGTTCTTATTTTAATTTCCGTAAAATACGATTTGTGATGAAAATAAAATTTGTAAAATATGTGGTTTGTATCCCTTCCATGCCATACCGCTGCGAAGAAATAGTGATTACGAAAAATTCTGAATGGTTTGCTTTATTAAATATTTTTATGAATTTCCTCTGTTATATTGCATTTTGAGATAGTTTGGTATTGTCGTGTCCTTATTGTCGTTTCTATATTGTTTTTTTAGCGATGGCAATTTGTGATATGCTGACCATAATATTTCCGGCTCCTGGCCTTTGGTATATGTACACGTTTGGCAATCACTACAAACCCTTGTATCCCCCATGGTTATGTTTAACGTATAACATATTTCATGAGGTAAGTAAATGCAAACATTTTAAAAAAGAAGTCAAACTAGAGCAACTAGAATGGAAAAACTAAACATTTCTCATAATTTTAAGGTTAAAATAATCTTTATATCGAGGCAATGAAAATGATATATTGCTCTTGACCTTTCGTCGTGTAAAACAAACTAGAATGCTCGCTAGGTACTTCTCAGAGATCAGTGGACAATTCTAAGAGGATTTAAAAAATCCCATTTCTCCAACCGTCGACCGTACGTCAAAATAAGCCTTTTCGCGAAAATCGAAATGAAAATTTCAAACTATTGATGTAAAATATCATTACGAGCGAGATCGTAAGCGCTTCGAAATGCTTTTCGCCACAAACTGCAGTTAGGTGCTTTCCTATATAACCAAGTAATCTGCACCTCCGAGTACGGTTTGAAACGAAAGCGAGGCAAAAGTCAACAACTTTGGTATATACTGGCCGTACAGCGCCTGAGATTACCGCGACCGTTCTTCCTTTGACCGTGCTGCCCTTCTTCAGAAAAGTGCAAATTAGTAGGACTTTCCCGCAATTACTGACATTCTTACTTTTGAGTCCGACGTACGTAAGCAGGCACTTCAGGCATTTCGAACGTGTCCTGAGTCGTTGGTTACAAAAATATCATTCATTTACGGATCATATAACACATGAATCTGACGACAACCAATTTGAAGGGCTCAGCATTTGCTCATATAGATTTACATATAGGTGATTATATATATATATATATATATATATGTTAACATACAAGTTTCCCGCTATTTAAGTCTTACACAGACAAAGTTTGTGTATTGTTTGTACCGATAATGCTTGTAATCGGCTGTTGCTTTGCTTGAAGCACCATTGACACAAATTAAACGTTACGCAATGAAGAAGCCGTATGTAGGCATAACGCGTAAACGTAGAAAAGCAATTTCACTGAGCTCGGGGAGAAATGTTTGCTTAGCATAGGGTTAATTCAAAATTTTTGCTTCTTATAAAAGTGATTACATTACAAGTTAAAAGGAATTCTTCATTAGAAGAATAAAGAAGAAGCATTATAATTATATGATATATTGATTTCTCGTTTTCTTTACTCAACAAACATAATTTTGTCTATTCTCTTGCTCTTGCGCCTTATCGTAAGTAGACTAGTAATGTAATGTTATGTAAAATGTGTAGAAAGAAGAAAGTGCAACTCAAACTATCGCACTTTGAATACATCACGAAATTTGTCACTGTCAAAGCGTATATATGGAAATTTTCATATCCATAATCACACACATATACCCACATATACATTTTGGCGTATTTTATACATTAAATACATAAAAAAAAAATAAATAAATAAATAAAAATAAAAAGGAAAAAACTATAAACTAAGTCCTGACATATATAAAAATTTCTCATTTCGATATGAATTTTGCCATAAAATGTAAAAAATTTAAACAATTAAATCTGCTATAAAAACTTTAATCGAACGTTTACATGAAATATTCATATTATAAGCAAATTAAAACCAAATTTCCACTTTATTGTTTTACATCGTGAATGCACTTTATGGAAACATATCTTTTCATGCAAAAAGCGTTCCCCTACAAGCTACGCACCGAAATAATGGAAATTTGTAATAAAAACTATTGGAGCGAATCTTCAATTCGCAATAATCTTCAATAATCCAACATATAAAAATTGCCAGATTTTGTATTCACGGGATTTATTTGATCAATACTTATGCAAATGTCCAGATCAAGTCCAGATACTATAAGCAATAAATTGCTGATTTCGCAAATTTGAGAGTTTTTTCGAGTTATAATTGAGTTTTTCAAATATTTCGTTGAATTACACAAATTTTATAAACTTATCAAGAGCCAAGGTGAACACTTTATTTCAATTTAAGAACTAAAGGTTTAATAAAGAAAAATAAATGAAAACATTATTCAACAGCCTTCAGCGTTCTACACTTATGCATATAAATTTTTGCAAAATAAGCCGTGGTCCGATTCGAACCATTTTCATTATGTGCTTGGGCCAAAATTCGTGCGTGTAAAAAATTTCATTAAAATATCTCAAAAATTGCGGCCTTTAGGTTGAAAAAAAAAACGAGATGGACTGGCGGACAGAGTATCCCTTTTTGAATCGACCGATGTAACAAAAAAAAAAATGGGCCTCTCTCAACTTTCTCTGGGGTTTGTGCATATCACAAGTTGTGTAGGGTATAAAAAGAGCGTAAACTTGCGATTTTAAATTGCATATCAAAATTAATATCCAATAACTCGATTATTTCGCTAATTTGGTGTAGTAGCATGCTATTCGCACATTTACCAACTCGAATAACAATCGATGCTGTGGTGTTCAAACCTAATATTTGCTTACGCTAAGGAAACTTTACGCAAGATGTCATCGGCCCATCCAAAGCACATACAATGCAGATATCTGAGCAAGTGAAACAAAAGAATAGATCAGACCTGACACGTATCTCGAATATGCATTGTGCAAAGTTTTCCATTTTGCGGGTACGCATCAGCTCTAACACAATTTTTCTCCATTTAGCCAAAAAATTCCATTTATCCAAACGTTTGTAGAGAAGATATTCTTCTAAATGAAGCTGTCGTCTTTAAATTTGCCAGAAACGTTGAAAGTTCCTATGCGCAGATTGGTATTGAAAAGCAGATAAAGCCCACACGCCTACAGTGGATAGAAAGCTTAAATTTTCTATATAGAGCTCCTTATTCGCGCTTTCACTATTAGCGGATTAAAAAAATACGACCAATTCCTATATTCGCGGTTATAAGTTTCTTTATTCGAGGATTAATCCAGGCCTTTAAGCTCTACTACATTAGAGGAACCTTCAAAATCATATTGGATAATATGGAATGTAATCCTGATATGAATGCTATGGAATGCAGGAAGCAATTTGACATAGCAAAATGCATCCTAAACGTAAAAGAATCATTGAAAGACTTGAAGCCACACACATTGAAGTCATGCTGGAAGAAACTGTGGCCTGCTCTGACTGCTGCACTGAAAATGACGAAGAATCTGTGAAAGTTCAAACTTTCACTACAAACATAGCCGAAATCGCGAATGGAATAGGACGAGATGGGTTCGAACAGATAAAATCAAGTGACATTCAAGAATTGCTTGAATCGCAAGATGAAGATTTGACTGAAACCGGCTTGGAGGAAATGTTCAATTCACAGCCCATTGAAGAAGCGGCTTCAACAAGCACTGGATTTAATTTAAAAAATCTTGTCGAAGGTTTAAGAATGGCAAATGAGCTACGCGATTTCTTTATGAACATTGATCCGTCTATGTCGCGAAGTCTTATTTTTGAAAGGCAAATTGCTAATGCGATTGCTGTGTGCCAGTCTGAGTTGAAGGAGCTTTTAAAAACTGCCAAGCAAGAGAAACGTACAAAATTCTGCAAACCATTGCCTCAGACTTATGATAATTAATCAAAATGTTCAAAAATTTCAATTAAATAGATTTTTTTTACTTTGTCACCTAGGGACATATCCCCTATAATCCCATATAAATTGCCATTCCGTATTCACCGTTTCTGTATTTACAGTATATTATTTTATGGACATGTACAAAAATGGAAAAAATTGGCGACGGCCACATAAAGTTATAAGTGTTTACATGTTAGACAAGATCAAATGTTGATAATTGCAACCCTGACCGTGCCTCATATGAAGATATATTTTTTAGCTAAAAATGGGCTGATACTAAAATAAATATAGTGGGAGCCACATGGGGGATTGCCTATCTTCTTAGCTGTACAATCGATTGGGTATCAAAATTAAAGAACTTGCAGAGTTGAATGGGGCGAACTAAGTGTGTTAAGCCTAAAGTAAATGTTGCGGACGGTTGTACGTGGCGGATTCATTTTTTCTCCACGATCTCGTCGAAATAGGTATCAAATAAAAGGATTCGAAAAATATATATAGACAGTAAATGGTTTCTTGTCCATAAACTACAATAGACGAACGATATCCTTGGTTCGTTCATCGTGGACTTTCCAATTTTCCTCTACAAATATAGAAATAAATCAGCCACGCCCACGTGTTATTACAGAGTAAAAAAATTTAAGTTTTTCCTTTTTTTATTCTTTTTTTCAATAATGATGATGAATGTAGGAGATTAGGGTCGCGGCCGAATATAATTATCCTAGTTGTTGTTCATTATTTATTAAGTTATTTTTATAATTTGCGCCAACAATTGTTTTTTTTCATTTAAACGCTTGCAAGTCATTCAATAATCAATATATGTAATATCTCCTACGTATTTTATTAGCCATACGACCTTAAGGTTAAATGTTTTCTTTTTTTTTAGAATCAAATTTAGCCCAAAAAGCGTGTCAGCCACAGAGCCTCGGAAGGAATGCTCCTTTGTTGCCATCGTTTATACATATTTGTTTACATTTAAATGCATATTCAGCACGATTCTTCAACATGACTTAATCTATTGCGTTTCAATCCGTTCGAAACAAAAAATTTCCGAAAATACGCTTTTCCTCAGGATATTCTAACGGCCTCACTCCTGCATATTTAAAACCGAAAAAACAGCCATCGCATGTAGCTCTGATAAGTTGCTTTAAAGAGAAATTCAAAAGCCGGGCGGCGCTTGTTGAAGTTTCATGCCATTTCGAGTATTTTCTTACGAGTTGCAATGACGTTATTTTTACAGTTTTCAAAACAATTGACAAATCACCATATCGTATGTTAACTTAAAATCCATTTGCGCTGGGAAAAATATCGTTCGATGTCACTATTGACTTCCAAACTGTTGCTGACAGCAATTTTTCAACGGTTTGTTGACGTTACACAAAATCCCGCGGATACCGGTCATGATGAACCCTCTAAACAATTAAAAAATATGTGTAAGAAAATGTGGAAAAAAATTATTTTCGGTAGGCGTAAAATGAAATTGTCAAACATAGCTAATATCCTTCAGATGTCGAGAGAGTTTCTATTCATCATTTCCCATGAAAATTTGGGTATGAGAACGAATGAGTACCGCGTTTACTCGCTATGAAATAATAATATCAATCAAATTCCAGTTTCGAAACGCTTGTTAAATCAATATAAACTCATTAAACGGACGAAACTTGATGCAACACTACGCTCCTGAATAGAATCCATAGCACACAGAGAGGAAATGCTAAACAAAAACAAAAATCGCTCAGAAAGTTTAAGGCCCCAACCGGCGATGACAAAAGCGTTCTTTCGCCGCAAAACACTGACTCCAATGGTGAAGTTGCAATTAATTGAAATTCATGTCACTGCTCTAGCCATTGTAGCAACGTTAGTTCCAAAAAGTATGCCTCAGGAGTAAAGATTCAAAGGTCATTGAAAATAAAGAAAGGGGATACGCGTTGCCGTGAATGTATCACTCTGATAGGCATCCATGTTGAGAAGTAACATCGAACTATGCGAACTAAATGTTTTTCATTAATAGTCCCGGGAATTAATGATCAAGGCATTGATTAAAGAAGTCTGCCAGCACAACACAAAATTCATAAATATTCTTTCTCTTTAGCGCCACTGATTGCACTAGGGCCTAGCAAACGCAGAGATGCCGCACAATTGTCAAGATGCCATATCACGTCGCCATTTTATTTAAATATCCTATGTCCAAGGTTGAAAAACAATTGTGGAATAAAAAAATAGCGAACTTTTTTTTTTTTTCGAAATCGTAAAAATCGTTTAAGGCATACAGCAATAAATTCCTGTCGCGCAGTAAAGATTTTATCCTCTTTAAATTAACGCGCTTTTAATGTGTTACGGTACGTAAGATGGAAAACAGTCAACATTTATAGGAAGCGAGAGAATTAGAATGATGGATACGATCTTTAAACGGCTTCAAGGATTAAAACAAGTTAAAGTTTTTAATTCTTGTAGGAGGAGCGCTTTGAAAAGTAAACTTTCGTAGCCAAAATTTCTTCTGTGTTATTTTCTTGTAAACTAACATTCATCCTAAAATATCACAAATTAGACTTCGCTGCCATGTAAGGGCTAAGCTTTTGCAAAAACGTTTATACACGAGAGAGTCTCACTTCACATTTAATTAGTATTCCGAAATATTATATTTCACCGCTCTTAGGTTGCGAAGTGAAAAATGCTTTCCAATAATCGACTTTTTTTAAAACACGGCTTTACGGTTAGAAAGGCTAAAAACATGCCTCTAATGTAATCAGTTTGCAGAGGAATACATTCTTCGATCACTCATGCCTCTATGTCAAATTTCATCAAAATATCACGAACATTGCAAAACACATGTGGAGGCCTCAGACAAACATATATATGGCATTATAAAAATTGAATCTAGTTCAGCTCCTACTGCGTGTTGCATACGCATACTATGGAAGAGCAAAAGGTCGTCTACACTTTTCATATCACGTTTGATTGTAAACGAATCTGCATCGACTTGCAGCCAGATCCAAAATAGGAAATATTTGAAATTAGCCAAGGAGGGTTTAATTTTTGGAGTACAACTCATAAAGCTGATACGTTAGTCTACGCCCGAAAGCATTCCAGTTAAACGCCTGAGCCTTATTCTTAACCACTATTGCTGACGCATATCGGTGTTTAATAACGCGAAACTCAGCGTTATGGGCCCGTATTTTTCTGCTCCCTAAACGACTCTTCACTGACATGTAATGGTCACGAAAAGAAGGCGTTGTGCTTGCCGGTTGATCGTGGTGAATAATTTTTGTAAACTCTTTAAAAGTTTTTTCTTGTGCATATAATTGAGCTCTTCATCTGTCTTCTTCTTCTTGTGAGCCCTGGCTGCTTGGGTACGGCCCTTCGGGGAGTATTCGTGGTGGTTGTGGTTTTCACTCGTTCCTTGCCAAAGTGGAACAAATCGAGGTGCGGATAGGCCTCAACACTGACCAGAGTGGGTTTATTGAGCCATACACAATAAACAATCCGGACTCTGGTGCTATTTAGGCCCCTAGTTTATAGGGATTGTCTAACTCGCCAGGGAGCCTGGGTTACGCTTAAATAACCCGCGTGGCTTGGGCCACCGTGGGGTTAAGCCATCAAGGCAGGTACCCACGTGAAACCCATGTCGCAATTACTGTCTTCTTCTTTATACTTATTTCACATTTACTAATTTGGACCAAGTGTACGGTAAAATTTTATGTGTACACACTGTTCGCCTTTCGTCAATGCTTATTTTTTGTACAATTGATTTTCTTCATCTCGCACCCGCTGTGAGGTATTTAATGGTCCAACCATCTGGTGTTGTCTCACTTAAGTGAAACGTTGTCCCAGCATAAAAATCACTCATTTGTTCGGTAATTGCATGAGTGCGAAAAAATTGAACTGTGAAAATTAACTAAGGCGTTATATGAATATTTTCTATTTCAATTATCAACTCACGCAACAGACAGATAGAAAGATATGCAAACAGACGTAAAAAAAAAAAAGAAAAAACGTTCAGAAGCCGTACGAACGTACAACAAAACTAATGATAAACGATGATAAAGAATCGCAGATGAAATGACGCTTTGTCGAGTTTTCAATATACGCTTCTATACATTGTTAACGCTATGACATAATTTTATATTCTCCATCTTGAAGTGCCGGGGACCTAACCGTATATTTGTATTTAAAAACAAAAACACTTTTACTAGCACTTATGTCACCAGCACAATTAATCTAATCTTTGTTTTCTTTCCTTTTTTTCTCTCTCTACAGATATTGCCTACTATTTGTCATACAGCATCAATTTGGTTGACGTTGGCTTTGGCTATACAAAGGTATGTAAAAATTTTTGTTTGAATATTTTATTTATTACCCCACAAGAATGTTAAGAGGATAAGGCGAGCTGTTAACAAATGAACCGCTCGAACAATTCACTAAACAAATTAAAATATTTTGTGCAATCATTTCGGTACTGCGTTATCGTTTGCATGGAAGACATGGCTTCGGCAGTGAAAATTGTTGGCACATCTTTAGACCTTGCAGCACTTGTCGACTTAAGGTAGATTTAATTATTTTTCACCTGAGTGTGCGTCTCTCTGTCTGTCTGATGTACATCGAGGGACTTTGTATGTATGGTATGTGGAAATTGATTGGATTGCACCATTTCTTGTGGCCGCCCTCTCCACCTAACATCTTATTTTGGAAAAGACATTATATAGGAAAAATTTGTCATTTTTTAGATTCTTTGATAAAATTTTTGAAAAATATTATTTTCACATACAAAATGAATATAGAAAATATATATGGAATAGGTTCAGTTCCCCCCCCATCCGCACCCCCTTACTCACTAACTACTCAAAACAAATGAAAATTTTATGGAACGACCGAGATTAAGTTTTTTTTTTTGATTTTAATATGAGTATTGGAATAGCGCTTTGGAATAGCGAGTTGACGTAAAAAGTTATATTCCAAAATTTGAACCACGCTGTTGTTTTTGTCGCATATCCGCACAGGTCATTGATTTTATATGATGGTAGTGAGATTTAATTCTTAATATTTTTACAATCAAAATACTAGTGTAGAGTATTTAATCACCGAATTCGCCCGATTACAGCAATTTAACTTGTTTAGGGTTATGGTTGAATATATGATTAGCCACCATATGCGATGAAAATATTTGTGAATTGAACTCAGATTATCGCAGATTTTTCTATAAATATCAAAGTAAAGTACAATTGTATGATTGGCATGGCATGCACCTCATATATGAGTATGTTAAATATATTCAATAGAAGGAAAAGCTCTAACTAAATACAGCCAGTTTGTAAAGACAAACCCGCAATTTGTTTTAACAACATTTTATTTTTATATCCTTCTTCGTAATTATACGTACATCGGTTTATAATTTAGTTCAGTGACAAATTTATTGCAATCTTTGAAATACCTACGAACTCTACTCGTATAGGTTCGTATTAAAATTTAATAACGCAATGGCACTTAGCAGTGGTGAGTAATTAAAAAATTCTCATTCGAATATCCTTTAAATTCCACTGTTTCGTTATTGTGACATTAACGTGATGGAAGATAATGCCTTTTCTTCGTCCTCTAAGCTTATATGCATTCATATGATAGGTACGTACGGTCAAGTCTCCTATCATGCGTTCTTTTCGTTATGCGATTACCATGAAACGAGGCATTTAAAGGCGTTGGGGCAGTGTTGTTATTACACGTTCCGCCAAAACTCAAATGGCTGTGGAAATGAAACAATTTATCTGTGGCTGCACTTATTATTATTTTAGACTTTTATTACGAGCTATCAGAGAATGTCGGTGAAAATGAACAAATAATAAAGCATTGCTTTCTTTTCATTTAAGATTTCGCCAACAAGTCGGTCAGTCGAATCATTTAATTTGTATTAATTTTGACTTCCTTATGACTCGGTCGACGTTATGACGTTTGCACATAATGCTATATAACTTAATCTGATTTGTTTAATTCTATATTTGTCTTAAAACCGGTTTCCACAGCAATCAAATCCTAAATGAAATTATGAATTTAATATGGATGAAATGATGGATTTTGTTATAGCACGCTTTCCGTATATCAAAGCGATATGAATTATTCGTGCTATAATTTGCTTGACTGTACACAAAATTTATCGGGTCGCGGGCGATATATATATGCGCAATGAACAGTAAAAAGCAACAATAACAATAAAGAGAATATTATGTTCGTGTGTGTGGTGAAAACTTTTATACTCACGACCTGATTTTTGAAAAAAACACACACAGCATGGACAAATTCTTCCATTCTTGCGCGAGTGTTAAAGGATCACCCATAGAATATCGAACAGCTCATATAGATCGGGGACAAAAGAACGTATAGACGGATGAATCGGCGTGCTTAAATCGATTCAGAATTTGATTCTGACTGCAAATGTATATACTTGATGAGGTCTTTAAAGCTTTCTTTGACAAAGTAAATACATCCCCATCGTTCGATGGTGGTTATAAAAAGCGTTTTGCGCTTTGTGAGCTTAATTTTTGAAAAATTTTCACTTAAGCTCTAATCTGCAATGTCTGCCTCGTATAATTGATTTAATGACTTTAAACTAGCGTAGGACTGGTGAGATGGTTAGTTATCCAAATGCATTGTTTTTAAAATCATGTCATTGTCAACAGGTTACATACGCTTTTTTGAACTTACTCTGTTGGATGTCATCAGCTATGAAGATGGCGAACTTTAATGTCTTTTAGAGCGTCAGTAATTGAACAATAAATGACCGCCTTATTCGGCTAAATCAACTTTTCGCGCAATTTATGCTACCCATTACAGGACATTGCAGAGAAATAAGATCAAAATATCCTCATTTTCCTTTTTGGTGACGACTATACAGTTCTTATTAATATATTATTACTAATTATGTCATCCTTCATACAACACTGGATTAAGGAACGCTTTTATGTCGTTACATCTAATAGATGGCTTAAGAGTCGCTAAGCTTTAAGCCGTACTGGAAACTCCCGTTAAAAAGGGAAAGAAATATCGCAGTTTAACCCGGTTTTGTGCGGGCTTTTATGCGCTTTTGATTTCTACGACTTGTTTTGCGCATCTTTCTCGATCCGAAGTATATACGAACCGAGGGAGACAGAAAGAATGTACGTGTCTTGGACTACGGCGAGGCGTGTCGAGTTATATGTTTAAGATACAAAATCAAAATCTTTTTCAATGTTTCCATGTATAACTCCACTATTTATTTTGTCCTGCAAGTACTATCTCACCACTTCGTTAAGCTTTCATATATTATTTCATAATAATCTGCAGGTGGAACAGTTTTTTATGCGGTGCCAGTCTACTGCATAAAATAAATTTTATTTAATCCGCTGAATGTTTTTTCTTTTGCAGCTTTTTTCTTGCGGTCCCTATTCGTCGCAAAAACTAGATGAACCTGAACAACACATATGTTGATTCAGTTGGAAAGTAATCGCGGTTCAGAAATGAAGTAAACTTCGGCACACTTTATAGTATCATTTTGTGCAAAGCAATAATGTCACGTAGATTTTGCCGGGAAAAGTTCGTCGTGTTTGTGAACTAACCATTGCCTGAGAAACGGCTTTAAACCATTTGTACAAAGTTCGATATTAAAAAAGCTCAACATTTGCGTGCCTGCTAGTCGCTGCTAAAGAGAAAGACAATCAATCAGGTTGCCTTTAAATAAATTAACAAGCGGCAATGAAATGTGGGTCATCAGGGTCATCATATGGAGTAACAATATGTCAACAACTACAAAGTCCAGCTTGAACCTAACTATATATTATAATACAAGACTTTGGGTTGGCTTGACTTAGCAGAAACTGAATCGTGACTCATAAGACTGATTCAATATATAGTCTATCAAAAGCTAATGCGATTAAAGCGTACAACTGAAGAGGATTGTCATGCCAGTCATGCCCGATTATACGCATTTGTAATGACTTGCCTAAAATTCGGAGAGAGATTTTTTAACGTATCCATCGAACATTTCGTCTGATTATCATTTTTTTCGCTTTATGCAGATCTCTTGTAATGGTGGTAACGTCGGTCCGCCAAAGAAGTCTGTGGAAATCTCTCAGTTCAGTTTTTCACTCAGTAATCGTGGATGTGCCATGTGGATGGTGAGCACAATTGTTTCAATAGAAACATGGCAAGAAGATATCAATCGCAATGACTCGTATTGCGTTTAATAAAAAGTTCATTACAAATATATCACAGAAATGTATTTAAATTTTAATGAAAAAAAAAGTCGCAACCGTTTTCCTTGACTTAAATAGTGCTAAGGTAGAAGTTTTTATGTTAATAATGATCTGTTGGCACAAGTGAAGAGTTTTGCAGTGTGTAACAAATTTCAATTATATATTTTAATGATTGAACTTCTGTCGTAATTCTATGTACGTGGGGAGTTTACCAGAATGTAAATGATTGAGTGTTTTAGAATTTGCGCAAACTTTTGGGAATCGAGCGAACGTACCGTACCACTGGTTCAAAACGGAGAATTTAACAAAACAAAAAAAGCAATTTCTCTAAATTTTTACTTTTGTTACAAAATTTTTCTATCAAGATTTTCTATGAAAGTTTGCGATAAAAAAGAAAAAGAAGAAGAAAACTTTTTAAATATTCGATTAATTTGGTTGAATTGATGGCGTAGAATAACAACGGAGCAGAGAAAGCAAACTAAACAAAAACTGATTTAAAGCACTTTTTAATTGATGTTTTTTTTTTTTTTGCCAACTTTTTTATTTCTTCTTTTATGCGCTTAGCATATACATTGATTGCTTTCCGATACCAGTAGCCGACGTTAATGATTATTACGTTTGCTGTGTATGTAATGTTTTATTGAATCAAATATTTATGAAATGCATAAAATATGTGGAGGAAGAACCGCACTGTGTAGTTCAAATTCGAAATGTTAAGCCTTTAGTGTTTGCAAAATGGAAGCGAATGCGTAACACAATCAGTTCGCCTTTATTTTACTCTCTATTTCCATAAAATCCATTCAATATAAATTAATATTTATGGCAAGTAATACAATTTGATGTACATATGGATGTGCTCGTGTAAGTGCGCGTGTTTTCAAGTGTCAGGGACAAGTTGGTGGACACATTCTTTGTAGTTATTTAACTAACTAATACGGCTTGTTTGACGGGTTAGTTCTCGAGTATCTCTTTAGCTGCTTATGATTATAGTGTGTGTGTGTGTGTGTGTGTGTGTGTGTGTGTGTGTATAGACATAAGATTTCTTTCTGTCTATGTGGTTGTCGTTCGCAATCACCATTTGAAATTTTTATTGATTCAACAGTTGGGTTCACTTTATGACGGCATTATAAAATGCTAACAACTTTTATTAGTATTTATTTATTGATCATTAAACACATTCATCGCAATCATGCTTATGTTTTCTTTCGCCCTTATTTACGTTTCTTTTCAGATACATTTATGTCTGTCATGCTCCTATGGCTCGTACTTGGTGCACAATGCCACGTGTTAAACGCTGCACTTTATATATAACACTAGTCTCGATTTTGCATCAAAGCAGTCGTTTCTTTGATCGAACTTATCTACCGTTAAATATTATATGGAACGGCGAGCCAGTTGAAGTGTGCACCTTCGATTACTCTGATTGGGTGCAATACGTCGGCGTAGATCTTTATTTTACAATTTACTTTTTATTTCGTGTACTTTTCGTCCATTTGATACCGTGCATATTATTGGTAACATTTAATATACTTCTCTTTGCGGCGATGCGTAAAGCTCAGGAGCGTAGAAAACTTTTATTTAAAGAGAATCGTAAACGTGAATGTAAGAAACTGCGTGAGACAAATTGTACCACATTGATGTTAATTGTGGTGGTAACGGCTTTTCTGGTAGTCGAAATACCTCTCGCTGTGGTCACTGCTATGCACATTGTCGTCAGTCTAAAGAAATTCACTATGGACTATAGCGTGATTAATGTTTTGATTATTTTTACAAATTTTTTTGTGGTCGTCAGCTATCCATTAAATTTTGGTATTTACTGCGGCATGTCCCGGCAATTTCGTGAATGTTTTAAAGAAATTTTCTTGGGCCGTATAACGGTGAACAAAGATCAAATGTCGAAATATTCAATTGTGAATGGTCCCCGCACTTGTACGGCCACCAATGAAACTGTGCTTTAGTAAAAATTGCTGTTGGGGCCGTTACGCAAAAGTTGGCAACATCGTCGTCGCAGACGACGTTCAAGTAGTGCTTGCAGCGCCACCACAACAGATATTGGTTTTTATGAAACAAATATTGATAAAGTGGTAAGCGAGATCGACGCCAAAACCAAACGTCGCCCTTCGAGTCGTAACAGTGAATACCAACAAATTGTGGTTATGGATGTAATCAACGAAGACAAGGTAACTATTTAAGTTTAAACTTATTAAGGCCATACATATATATGTACGTTTTGTTAAATTTTTATAAAAATAATAACTTAATAACTTTTTAAAGATTTTCTACATGCGTATTGAACTTTTTAAGGAGTACAAAGAAATATTTGGAAAAATTTTATTTTTTAACTTAAACGCAAAATATTGTACACATAAGTAAAAATAACAATAGAAAAATTATCTGTTATTTGAATTGGATCGAATTTTTTATATCGATGTGAACTGCAAAAAAATAAATATCTCAACCACAGCTGGCATGGAATTTTCCATTCAAAGCTT